GTAAAAACACCAGAGTGCGCATTGTAATACGGGTTAATCTAAATTTACCTTAAAAGTCAAGTCAAAATATCGCCGCCTTCTGCCTGTGTCATACCTTTTCATAAACATCCTATTTTCCAATTTCCTATTTTACAGAATCATTTTTAGTATTCACTGCAATAAAATTATGCATAATACATTTTAAATATGAAATATATCGTTAGAAATTATTAAATTTTATATTATTATCTTTTATTTGATTATCAAAATAAATTTAAAAAATTTTATTTAGCTTTAAACTATTATATTTATTTCTACAAAAAGAACTTGCTTGCTTTGAGCCCGCAGATATAAATATTTAGAATGACAGCACCTCCTACATGTATCTACTTATATCCATGACTACACATATTATATACAACTGTTTCTCATGACATATCTGTCTATAAATTTAGTAGCAGTAGAAGTGATTCTAACGCCCTGTAGAAGCACATTTTCCTTAACCAATCGATAGATATAAATGTATATATTTTTCCACAATCAATGCCGGTTCTGGGCACACTTCAAATGACAACAAATAAGTCCACTTCAGAGTGATTAAGCGACAAACATCAAATAAACTGCAATAACAAGTTGCCCGACATCAGCTCAATACAAATCGAATCGAAATCCTCGCAGCCTCATCCCTCTCTCTAATTGAGTGTGGGCGGAGGCTTAGCCGCTAGGCTGAAAACAATATGAGCATAATTATTAATTGCAAATAATTTTTCTTAAGACTCATTAAGTGTGGCCGGCAAGCAGGCGTCGTGCTTGATGAGAAAGCCACGCCCCGCCCGCCCCCCACAGTGTCCGAAATGACAAAAGAATTGACAGCACATAAATTAGAAAGTAGCCCATCTATATAAGTCCGCCCGAAGAGGGTGACACTCATCCAAGCTGCGACCATGTTTAAATGTGTTAAGCCGACGGAAGTGACATTTCTCTTACGCATTTCTCTAGAGAAGTCGTCGTTGTTGTTGTTGCTGCTGTTGTTGTTGGTCACGTGTCCACGCGCCTGGCGGCGTGTTTTCCGATTTGTAGTCGTCATTGTCAAGGCGTAGATTTGTTGATCTATTGTTGAACGCCGCCAGGACTTGCAATTGCAGAGGTGTGTCGGGGCAATCCTTGATGAATTTGATTTTGATATAAATTTCGATATTCATATTCTGCTATATATAGAGTAGTATAATAATAGAGAGAATTTCACTCTGTTGGAGTCCCATTGCATTCATTTAGCATTGGATTTGTCTTTGAAAATCATATTAAATATTGAAATAACAGTGTATAATTATAGTAAATAATATATAATAATAATAAATAATAAATAATATATAATTTATTATAATATATAATATATAATAATAAAATAATATAATATATATAATTAATTTAATACTACTATTTTTATTAAATTAAAATAATACTCTTACTCTTGCTCCTTGATCTCCATAATAAATTGCATAATAATTAATTAGCCCCTAGTGTAAAATGATTTTGATTGTGTACATGAAAATCATTTTCTTGAAACATTTCCCAATTTTGATAGAATTGACTTCAAAGAATCCACTTTTTTGGCCAAAAACTCCTCGAAAAATTAAAGTGACTTAATTTAGCTTAAATCCTTCTGTGTATATCTTATAAAGCTTTTTTTCTGAAGTGTGAAAATGAAATTAACACAAAAAAAATCGAGTTCAAACTAATTTAATATTATTTACATAAGTATAATTTCTTTGAAATACTATCAAAATTTGAATATAATAAATTGGATTCTTGAATCTACTAATGAAATATCTACAAAATCTTATAGAGTTAACTTATAAATTAGTCCTGATTTGCCTTTAATTTTATATAATTTAAAAAATTGTAGGAAATACATCTCTTTCAAAGGAATTTTTATGTTAGGCTTTACTGTACTAAGGGAGTACACATAACCACATCAAATTGCTCTACAATGGACACAGGCACCTACAGTATGAAACTAAAGGCATGTCTTCGCTTTGCAGGTATCAACTTTTGATATCAACCTTAATTAGCAGTCAGACCAGAGTCAATGCCGATAAAGGACAAAAGGAATTCGTCGAGTGTTGCTGACGCGCAGGCACTTTAAGGGCCGCTGCAACACAATGTTGACTGTGTAGGCTCCGGCTGGCCTCGTGATAATGTTAAATCAACATTATTTGGTCGGCCATGCATGCGTAATGCGTCTCGAAATTGCGGCCGGAATGCGTAAAGTGGGCGGCAAAGACAATTTGCGCCTCAGTTTGCGAAGTTTGCATTTAAATTAAACGAAAAAGCCGGCCAAAGCCGTGATAAAACTTTAGCACTAGCCCAAACACGTTGGCCCAAACAACATTGTCTCGCCTTTTATGCACTTTACATAAGGACACGAGTCCTGCGGGGCGGAGTGGCGGTCGCAGCTATAACAACAATGCCCAAGCACTTGACTTGGGCTGTCATTCAAAGTGACAGCGAGCCCGACTCTAACCACCTGATGGGCCACAAAATGTGCAACGCCCAGGTCCTGCGTTCAATCGACACTCGAAAGTCTATTTTCACAAAATTTCCATGTTTATTCAGCCACGCACGAAGCCCCTCTCTACGTGTGTGTGTGCACATAACTGTATATTGTATCTTGTAGTTTGCTTAGCGTCAAGTGCAAGGTAAATACGAGATATTTTACGCAAATTTACCAAGTGTTTACCCGGGGCTCGTGGTTGAGGTCTGAGGTTCGGCTCCACTGGCCACGGCCTCGGCCTCCTGTGCAATTGGAATTTATTGTAATTTGCATTTTAACGCTCAAATGCGTTTTTTGCGTAATGCACGTGAATTAATCATTGCATTTGCAGCAGCAGTATGACTCGAATATTTCTATTACTTAAATGCCTTTAAGGACGCGAAGAATTGCCCAGAAAGTTGAATGTTTACTATTAATTGATTCTGTTTGAATATGGCTTCTTTTGAGTATTAATATATATTTAAATATTTAAATATATTTTATTTTTTATATATAGCTATTGCTTATACTAACTATTGTAGCTGCTGTATCTATGTTTTACTAAGATAAATTCAGCTAAGGTATCCTATCTTATATAGATAGTGTATTACAGCAACTATATATGTATCTTATGATCATACATATAGGCTTTTCTTAACACCTCGTACCAAATGTTGGAGGACGTATAAAATCCATTATGGAATGTCTTAAGAAACCATCTTCAGTTGAATTTATAATAATAATTATAATTATAGATACTTTCTTAACCTAAGTTAAAGCAGCTCAATGTTATATTCTCTTTTTTTTTAGAGTAGAAAGAGTATATAAAATTTTATATATTTATGTATTCTATATCAGATATATTGTATGAGCATTATTGTAGCACTCGACTATATAAGAGACTCAATCAAGTCATAGTTAAGCATAGTCAGAACTGAGGAAAATTGGAAAAGTGCTGCTCATTTCAATGAAAAGCTCTTAGGACTATGTTGGCAATGATGACGCCAGCTGCTGAATAGTGAAGCTTCTGATTTTCAATGAATATGCTCCTATATAACTGAGTGTAGAGTATTTGAGCTGGAACTTTACTTTATATTGCATTTCATATGTTCTTCTAGTTTGTCATTTAAAACAACTTTTCAAATTCTTATTTCATAAAATGCTACAAATGTCTTCTACAAAACTGTTAACAGAGTATCACGAAGTCATTTTTTCTGCACATCACACAATTTGAATAGCTCCGGCATCACGTATTTATCTAATTTGCTTAGTTTATTTAGCTTAAGTGTTTGTCATTTGAGGTGAGGAATGTAAAATGCATTGTTGACTTGCCACAAAGAAGGCCTCACAATTTCAGCTAAAGTAAATCTTAAAGCTGAATGCACATTATGCTGGGCGAGCTAAAGGATTTTAATTAAATTTATATGTTGCATGCCAGATTGGCTGCGGCCTGGCCAGGGCTTTGTCTCAATTTGCACGCAAATTGACCAAAGCATTTTAAAAATAAAAAATAAATAAATTAATATATCAATATACAAAGTGTATCGAATGGATTTTCAATCAAATTGAACAGAGAGAGACGGAGTCAGAGAGAGAGAGAGAGAGATGGAACCGCCCGCTGCGCCCTGCCAGACGCACATAAAATTGACATGTTTCGAGGCGCCGAGCAGATTCTATATAATTTCGCATGTAAAAAGAAAATTCTCAAACGAAAATCAGTTAAAACGTGTATTGCATAATGGGCGTGGCATGTGAGGAGGCGGCTGTTGCTGCTGCTGCTGCCTTTTCAATGAACTCACGGCGCGACGCATTGTTGCTGTTGTCGCATGCAACAAATTGTTTCAATTAACTAAATTAAATTTACACTCCTGCAGCTTCACGACCAACAACAATTGCACATATTGAATGCATTTTGCTGAACGTGACATGACACTGACAGATAGAAAATGAAACGAAGAACCAGCAACGGTACAAAAAGTTACGCCCCCCGCCGCCCACACACCCCGTGTCAGTTGACGAAAACGAAATCCGAGATACTCTGGAGGCAAATGAAAATGGCAAACATGTTGCATGCGGAAAATGCTACGGAAAACACATTCATGACATGGAAATTTATAAAAATTAACTGCCAAGTAGATGGCGAGTTCAGTTTATAAGGGGTGGTCACTAAAGAGGCTCTGCACTGAGAGAAAGTTAACTGATAAATATGGTATAGATACAGAGACTAAAGGAAATAAACACACTGTGATAAAGCATAACTTAAATTTAAACATTTATGCTTAATAAATAATAAAAAATTATTTTTTAAAAAGTAATATTTATTATATTTGCACGTCAGAGTTATGTAATCTGATTTGCTTAAAAAACATATACAAACAAAAAACAATTTTTTAACAAATTACTTTCTTATACATGCTAAGTGCTTTATACACATGTATATAAAATATTTAAAAATATATAATTATGTATACAAGATTTCGCTATAATAAGTTAAGCTACTTAGCATGTAGTAAACATATAGTTGAGATTGTCTCAATATGAGTTAATATAAGCATAATATATTTGGAATAATCTTAATGCTGCCTTATTATTCTCACAGTGGAGTTGAAACATTGTAGCGACACGGCAACATTGTTCGTCAATATCAATTATGCGTTCAAATGAATATTGAAGTGTAGCCGCATGCCTGCCCAACTCAATGTCCACCCACTCGCGACAATAACAACAGCCGTTCAGCCGAGAACAACACCACAAAAGCCACCGCTGGCCATCAACCAGGCAAACCAACCACCCACACAGTCAGGCGGGCAGGCGAGCAGGCGGTTGTTGAGGATAGCTCATCAGCAGGCGCTGGCGAAAAATTGGCAATTGTACAAAAGTGTTAACACGGCGTCGCATCCTGCAGACTGACCACAGAACAGGCTGCCTGCCAGCCAGCCAGCCAGCCGCCTTGGACACATCCATCAATGCCAACAGATTTAATCGCCATTTAAATTGTACGAACTCGAACTGGGAGCTGGGAGTCGTCGACGGAGTGTGTGTGCTGCATTTACTTAAGCGTGTTATCAGCGTAAAATAAATCTCTATAGAATGGTCAGACAGCTGTCTGACCGTCGCTGGGTCAGCCCGCCCGTTCGACTAGCCTATCTGTTTAGTGTTTTCCAATCAGTGGCCCCGGGGCTAGCAGATTGGTCACGTGTCGGCGTCCTGGTCAATGGTCAGCAGTGAGTGTGACATGCGTCGCATAATTGCAATAAATTAGAAATTGTTGAAGGCCTGCAACAATGTTGAATTGTATTGTTTGCTTAAATTCTCTGTCTGACTTAATTTACCTGGCTTAGATTCTATGGATGCAGCTACTCTTCTTCAGTCGAAGCAGACCTCGTGAATTACTACGAAATTAATGTAGCATCGCGAAAGGAAGCGCACACAATTAAGACGTAGCGAGATCTGCAATACATACATAAATTAGTACAATGCAAAGCAAGAGTCGCAAGGAAGTTATAATAATCAAATTTTACGATTTTCCTGCAAGTGCACGCGGCTGGAAATTATGCGTATTGCAAGACAATGCGTAGAACTTTCGGCTTAAATGCGATTCCAATTCCACTTCCAGTTCCAGTTGCTACGCCTCTGCGTCCATCACGGAAGCAGGGCGCGGCAATAACAGTAAAAACCAATTGGCAATCATTAGTTTTTATAACACAAGACATTCTTCGTTGACTTTCGATTTGTGGGCCTTTTCATTTTTTTTTTTTGCGTATCCTGGAATGAAAATTCATTTTCACTTGTCCCAGTCGAATATAAAAGCGAAGCGCAAGTCAATCACAGGCAGAAATTTGGTCAAAACGGAAATGTGTCGCAGTCTCAACGTAATTGTGGGTGGACACAGCACCAAATTGGATGTCGAAAAGTTGTGTTGCCCTAGGAGTTACGACTGTCTATGAGGGCGTTCCAACCATTCGGCTATTGCGTCACAAGTATCTTACTTTTATATTAACTTTAATTTTCCCAGACCGTCGCTACTTTCTTAGACGCAGAGTGCTTTTTCAATTGAGATGGCACTTATGTGCAAAATATCGATTGACGATAGACTAGCCTCTAATTGGATATCTCTTGCAACTTGTAAACCGTTTTTTTAATAGTCTTATTACATTACTTGTAAATCTTATTGCAATATTTGATTTTTAATTTAATTTTTTAATTTTGATGATATTTATCAATAATATCGATACTTTTTGGAGCTTTTTAACGAAACTATTGGTTGCCTAATTGCGATTTGTACCACAAATATCCTATTTCTATCGATATTTAAATTCACTGTACCCAAAATCAGTTTTAACAATGGCTATCTTACACTATCGATACTTATTGACGATTCGGTTTAAAACTTGTTCTTGCACGTGAGCATTGGCATCTATTAATGATTATCTAAATAACTGAAAATATCAATAAAACTATTTCATAATGGATGTTTGCCGTGCTTGCATGAGTAGTTCACATACCTTAGTAGATATATTTTGCGATCGGCCATTAGCTGATTATGAGTTCAGTCTGGCGGAGATGCTCAACGAGCTGGTGGACTTTAAGGTAGATCGTGATGATAAGCTGCCTCAGAGGATTTGCGTAACTTGTGGCTTAAACGCCCAAATCGCGTTTAAATTTAAACGCAGATTCCAATTGAGCCATCAGTTGCTCTGCATGAAAGTCATGGAGAAACCAGAGGACGTCGCTGTGCTGGACACAGAGACGACTGACGAGGTGAAGGAAAATATAAAAGATTTTGAGTCCAAATCCGACTTGAAACATAAGCGTAAACTGCATAAAAAACAAAGGACCAGATGCGAGAAGCTAATTAAGGAAAGATCATTAAATGATTGTAAAGACGTAAAAGACTACGCCAATGATTTGGATCAAGCCGAGCGCTCAACGTTGGATGATGCTGAGCCTAGAAAGGCCCACCGATATCCCCTGCGCCAATCCAGACGGAAGCCAGCGCTCAACTACAACGAGAAACTCGCCAATCCCGTCGAACTGCGCAGTAGGCTGCGCAAGTTCAAGTGCGATCAGTGCACAAAATCGTTTACCTCCAGTCAAAACCTCAAGAGACACCAAATAAGTCATGATGGAAAGCGCAACTACAAATGCCTGCATTGCCCGAAAACCTATCACAAGCAGTCGAAGCTGCAGAGGCACATCAAGAGCCATAGCCAAGATCATCGTCACCTGTGTGGTCAGTGCTCGAGAGCCTTCAACTGCCGGTCGGACCTGATCATCCACATTCAGACCCACAGCGAGGCGCGCCCTTTCGTCTGTCCCTACTGCCAATTCGCATTCAAGAGCTACTTTCATCTCTATAGACATTTACGGAATCACTTGGGTCAACGCCCCTTCAAGTGTGAAGCTTGTAACAAAAGTTTCACAACTAAATGGAACCTTAAATCTCACATGAATACTCCCAATAGGTGTGCAGCTCAGAAGAAATTAAATTTAATGTAAATTGGTATTTAAATATAAAAATGTAAAAAATTAATTTAAGCTATCAGATAATTTTAGCAAGTAAACTAGGTAGCTCTCTTTCAATTCTCAAACTGAAAGTTATATATATATATATTATATTATAAAAAATTTAGGTTAAGTAATAATAATAATTAAATGTTCATGTATAAAATATATATATAGTTCTTGTTGAACGAGTTGAAATTATGTTAAGTGTAAAGTTTAAGAATTAAACAAAATTGATTTTTTACAATTTTTGTTTATGACCATATGCTAAATATATAAATATTATAGGAATTCAGATTATCCAACTGTAAAAACTCAGAAAATTATTGTTTATAACCATTTTCACTTAAAACTGTGTTCACTTTAAGACAGCGAAACAGTTAAGTTTCAATAATTAAGAAAATAGCTCTAAAAATGTGTTAAAAACAAAGCCTAACAACATATGATTAAATTTTGTTGACTCCGGGATGAAACTAGACAAAATTTCAACAAAAATTATTTAAGGTTCAATAATAACTTATTAATTATTAAAAAGTCTTAAGGTATCTTTAAAAGAAAATCCGTGTCTCTATAAAATTTTTTTTTTATTTTCAATTTAAAATTTGACCAAAAAATTAAATGATGCCGCTAATAAAATTTTGAAATCATTTGAATCAGCAATTTTTAACTCTAGGAAAAGTAACTTTCTGGTAACTAAATTCATCAAACTTATAATGAATCAAAAATTCTGATATTGCCCATTCAAATTTTCAAGTAAAACTGGAAAATTGGTACAATTTTGATTGACTTTTTATAGATAAAAGTATTTACATCTAGGAAGTAATATACATTTATTTTATGCTTATAGATAAGCATATAAAATACAAATATGTATAAAAGTATAAGTGTTATATATAGCAAACATTAAATTTGACAAACAATTCATCTACAGCTTATTGTAAGCCTCGACCAAGTTAATTAGTCTGAAATAGAGAGAAATATATATGTGTTAGCGCTGTCCAGCCTGTCCTTAATATAGAATCCTAATAACCAAGCAAAACCACATTAAGTTACCAGAAACCATTTGATTATCGAAGCATTGATCGATATCTAAATGGCAATCAATCAAATTCGAGATTTGCAGAAGCAAGGCCAGTTATTATGGGTCTTTCGTCATGCTAGGCTGACTTGCACCCTTTGCTGCTCGTGTGACACCCGAGCACATGTCAATTTGTGGATTGAGGGGGGTTTTGTGCTGGGAAGACAACTTTCTTCTTGACAGGCCCATTCGCTCTTGGCAACGAGCTGCAACGCCCAATGTGTTAAACCTATCCATTAATATTAATAGTCTATTGCCGGTTAGCGGTGCGTGTTGTACGTGACTTTTCCGTAACCCTTTCCAAAGATATGTATCCACACACACATACCTATGTCTTTGGCAAGCTTCGGCGTCGCTGTTAACCTTATCGTTTGATTTGTAGACATTTTATTGCTTTATTGATGCATTCTTATGAAAAGCGCAGCGTTTTCTTTGATGGATTGTTTGAATCTTCGGGTCGGCCCCGACCTCTGCACCCGTCGTACCTGAGCCCTCGACCCTGGGGAAAATCCGTCAGCAATTTTATGCTGGTAGACCACCGCACACGCAATTCGCCTTGGGAAACTTTTTCTCTTTTTGTCAAAATTCTTATTTTGATTGGCACTTAGCAGCCGTAAAGGGGTGAGAAACCCAAACGAGATGTTGCTTATGGGAAAGTCTAATCAGCGCAGCAGTAAACTCTTCAAGACACGCAATGTTTGCGTAGGCTTTAAAGAAAATGGAAGGAGTACTTCAGTTGAAAATGCCCTTTTATGGGGGTCGAGATATTATAGAAGAGTAGACATACTGAGCTTTGTTTGGCTGAAAAATGTTATCGATACTTATCAACTTCGATAACACGTAGTAATATGAACTAGATCTTATCTGCATGAGAAGTTACTGATATCAACAACAGTAAAGAGATGTCAAAGTAAAGAGATGTTAAAAATATATAGATCATACGCAGCCTGAAAACAAAATCGGAATATCGATAATAATCGATTTTAATCAGATAGAGTGGCTTAAAGTAGAGTAAGTATGTAAGTATGAATGGATAAAAGAAATTTCTGATACCAATCGGAATATCGATACTTATCGATAGACTCTAATGTCTGCAAATGACGATAAATAAGTTCCTAGGAGAAGCAACGGCGAGTCATCGGAATATCGTTAGCTGCACATTTAGTTGGGCGCAGAGGTAGTTTTTGAGAGCTGTAGGAATACAGAAAATTATCGATTTTGTTGATTGGCTGGAAATCAATGAAGATAGCTTTGGCAAGGAATAAGTTTTTAACTGAATCTAAATATAAATATATCATATAAATATCTAAATATAAATATGTCAACAAGCACAAATATTAATAAGAATATCGATAAATATCGATTTGATTGACTAGCAGGAAAATTATGTAAATTTGCTAAATTGACTGTCAAGGCTATAGCGACTTTTCTGGTAATAAGTATATATAAATATGTATACCCAAATGCCCTATATAACTCTGGGTATACACTACCAGAATACCCGTCCAATTACTATTTCAGCAGGGTATATTGGAAAAAAAGAAGCAGGAAAAATGATAAAATTACAATTTATTATATTATGTAAATAGAGTTAATAGCTAAAAAAAGCACAACTTTCAACTGTACTTAAATTTTATGTTATTTTTTCTAAAGCGTCTCAAGTATGCCAGGACGAAGGACAAATTATGCATAGTAAAGTCCAGGGCGTAAACTCGAGGGTGCTCTCTAAGCCACTAATAAATTACTAATGCTCACCTCCTCGGCAAAGTTTTGCACAAAAATATTAAATTTTACGAGCTTAATTTGTGTGTTTCGTGCCGAGCTTAAGGACGGCTGTTGTCCTGGACAACAGGAGCTGCGAAAACAATGTCAATTACAGCCCGATTGAAAAGTGGGCTGGCAAAAAGTTGTTGTTGTTGTCGTTGTTGTTGTTGCACTGGCAGATCGCATAAACCAATTTTATTGGTGGAGCAACCAAAAAGCCGACAACGTCGAGAACGACGCTGACGATGCCATTGAACTAATCTCCTTAGCATTAGATGGCGAGCTCCTTGTCTCTATGCCCAACCTGAGGGTTTATTCATATTTCAAAAGGCAACTTTGCGCGACTCGAAAATGACGTCATTAAAGTTTACGATTCTCTCCTTCTCCTCTCTCTCTCTCTCTCTCTCTCTCTCTCTCGCTCTTTCTCTGTGTGAGCCGTAAAGCATGCTCTGCTATTTTGTAATAAAGGGTATTTCGCTAGCATGCACTTTGAAATGCCCATTGTTGTTTTTAATACCCTGCAACATGTTGAATAACGGGAGTTTAGAGTGTCAAGTGATCAAGGTAGACGTGGTAGACCTCATTGAGTACACATATTCTGAATCTGTCTGCTCACTGTCTGTCTATCTGCAGATAAAATGTTATAGGCTTTCATGAAATCGCTTAAAAACTTGATTAAGCTTCACTTATTCTTCCTTATCTTACACTTTCACTGAGCTAAACTTAAATTTGGTATAAACATAAATCAAAAGTGAAAACAAATGAGAACTTGCTCGCTCTCTAGATATCTGCTGCAATATAGTTTTGAGGCAACAGCTCCTACAGAGTATCTGCTAGTCGTGCACACGTAATTACCTGCCTTTTTGGGCGCCCAGACAAGTGCATCATAGATCTATAGATCTTATGTGTGTGCGGCTGTCGCTGTTGGTGCTAAAATCAACAAAAGTCAACCCGTAAGATAAAGCGCGCATTTCGGGGCTGCCAAAAACTTTGCATATTAAATGTCATTTGGTAAAGTGGAATTAAGGAACGCGCCCAGCTCTCAGCTCCCAGCTAGCAGTGCCCAGGCAAATGCTGTCACAGCAAATTATGCTAGAAATGCGTCTGTCAAGGATGCGGATGCGGCTGCGGATGCGTGTAGGTTGCATCCATTGAGCCATAAATGAAAACTAAACAAGATTTTGCTGCAAATTTTATGAGCCAATTTTAATGAAGTTGCACAAGGAGCAGTAGAAGAAGAGCTGCAAAATTTTTGATGAATGTCGACACGAAACAGACAAGTTTATAAATTATGCCAAAGCAGTTAAGAGGGTGCATGAAATAAGAGATATGCGTGTAAGTATGAGAGGCAGACAGCTAAGTTTTTTGATTACAAATTCTCTAATTATAGCAAGTAAGAGTGCTATAGCAGGAAGTGCGCGACTTGAAGATACCCTGCAACAGATCTTGATCCACACTGAAGCAGCAGCTGTTAGATCTAATAGAGCTTTTGGCTACTTGTGTGCACACATGCATATGCATACACGTATGCAGAAATACATGCGCCATCTATTGTTAGCTTTATGCAGCTGTTGCACTTGCTCCTCCGGCCTTACCCATAGCCAGTCAAGCAAGTTATTGAATAATTTCGTTTCTAGATATTGTTTTTTTTATGATACATTCAATACATAATTATGACAATCGACTAAGTGAATATACCAAATTAAAACTCTCTACTATTGGAAACATGATTTTTGTTTTTAGCTTTATTGAGAATGAATAGAGGTCCTCAATACTTAAAAACATTTATTAGCTGTGTATTCACTACTAGAATCAAAAGGTCAAATTTAGTATCTCTAGCTTGCATAGAACTAAAGTTATGCCTAAATAACCAAGACCATAAATCTATTCTTATTGATAGGAAAAAATCGATTGGTTATCGAATAAAAATATTATTATATGACGTAGGGTATACAAGAACATATTCTGAAAATTTCTAGTCTCTAGACTTGTTAGTCCACGAGATTGCAGCATTCAAAGCGAGGAACATCATTAACCAGCTCAAGAACACATACACCTTATAAAATCTGACTAGCTTGCTTTTAGCTGCCCAAAACCTATGCACCCTAAATGCCCGTTTTCATTAGCTTCCAGGGTATAGACATTCTTATTTTCATTATGTATACAATTGTGTTCACAGGACTTCGACCTTTGTCACGGTTGT